AAATTCACCACCATCGTCAACTTCTACGTACACACCACGTCGCCAAAAACCAGTACTGGTTTGATGACGTCTCCATCAGCAACCTGCTCGCCGAGAAGAAACGCCTTCATAAAGCCTACGCCGCCCACCCCACCGACGACAAAAAAGCAGCCTTCTACCGTAGTCGCCGCTTTCGCAACAGCGGCTACAGGAGGTGCAGGACGCTTGGACGGCTTGTAAGACCGAGGAAATCCAATGGTACTCCTACCACAACGAATGGAACAACTCCTGCCTTGCCATCAAGGCTGTCTACGGTCCCACAGCCAAAGGTACTGCTCCTCTCCTCAGCGCTGACGTCACTATCCTGCTCACCGGGAAGACACGAATTCTTCAGCAATGGGTCGAGTACTTCAGAAGAGTCCTCAATCGTCCCTTCACCATCTCCGACGCCAATATCGCCTGTCGGCCTCAAGTGGAGACTAACGCCGACCTTGACCTCCCGCCCTCTTTCCACGAAACCATCAGGACCGTGCAACTGCTGTCCAGCGGGAAAGCGTCCAGACAGGACTCGATCACTGCCGAGATCTACAAACGTAGTGGCCCCAAATCATGGGTCATCTGACGACTCTAGTCCAGGAGATGTGGCATCAAGCAGAAGCTCCTCAGGATTTCGAGGACTCCCCACTTGTTCATCTCTACAAACGGAAAGGTAACCACCAACTCTGCGACAACCATTGAGGCATCTCACAGCTGAACGTCGCTGCAAAATTCTTTGCTCAATTTCTTCTCAACCGTCTTAACAACCATCTTGAACAGAGTATCCTGCCGGATAACCAGTGCGGCTTCCGTCTTCATCGTAGAACCACCGCCAACTGCGGGAGAAGTGCCGGGAGGTGCGGACCCACCTGTCCTCTACCTTCGTGGATCTAACGAAAGCCTTTGACACGGTGAATTGCAAAGGACTGTGGAAAGTCATGCAGAAATTCGGCTGTCCCGAATGATTCAATCATATGGTGCGCCACCTCCACGATGGCATGATGGTGCGCGTCACGGACAATGAAGCTGTCTCAGAGGCACTCGCAACAACCAACGGAATGAAGCTGGGCTACGCCCTCGAGCTTACCCTCTTTCGTCTTATAATCTCTGTCATGCCGATGAACGCCTACCATGACGAACGCCCTGAGATCCGCGCCGCTAACAGGACCGTCGACCATCAACGGATGCATTTTCAGACTCGTGCGTTCACAACTTCCGCTCATGAACTTCTCTTCCCCGAAGACTGCGCTCCCAACGCAATCACAGAAGGAGACATGCACAGGCGCATTTACCAATTCGTCGCCGCCTGCGACGTCTCCGGCCTAATCATCAACACGGAAAAAACAGCGGTTATGCCTCAACCACCACCCGACGCTGCTTACGTTGCACCCCAAACCAACGTGAACGGCGCCCAACTGCAAGCTGTAGCTAACTTCACGTATCCGGGCAACATTCTCTCTCGCACCACCAAGATCGACAATGAAGTGGCCCGCCGGATCTCCAAAGACAGCCAAGTCTTCGGCCGTCTGCGAAACACAGTTTGGAATCGACGCAATCTCCATCTCAGAACCAAATTGAAGATGTACAAGGCAGTCATTTTGCCGACACTGCTGAATGGAGCGGAAACATGGACGGTGTATTAGAAGCAGGCGCAGGAGCACAATCCCTTCCCCGACAGATATGGAAGCTAAAGTGAGAGAACCGGATCCTCAACAAGGACGTAATTGAATTGACGGGAATTTTCAGCATCTATGCCACACTGAGACAAATGCAACTGCGCTGGAACGGCCACCTAGTGCGGATGTACTGTAGATGGGCTAACTCATGAAATGCCAACCGAAATTCCGAAATGCGTTTTTGTTTCTAAAAGACTAATTAAACAGAATTGGAGAACTAATCATCAAGCAGCATAAATCTATAATAATTCAGTTACCCCACGATGCCGGCTTTCGAACGGACTTCTTTTCGGCAGCATGCAAAAGCTTCACTCTGTAAAAAAATGACTTCTCAAATAGCATGCATTTTTCTCATTGATTTTCGATGCCCTTAAAAATTTCATTATATTTCATGGAAGACATGCATAACAATATTCACTCTTTTGCTTGTTCGGTAGAAAATTACGTCTTCTTTCAAGTTTATATTCGAAAGAAGGGTATACTTCGGTTTTCAAAAACTTTCAAGAATATCGAATAATTTTTAACCCGACCTGCAGTTACAGTCGTATTCAAGGTTTCCAAACTACAAACCATATATCTTCCGCGTACGGAAAACCATACGTTTCTCTACCGTATTAAGTTGACACCATATGGGGTTCATAAAATTCAGCAGTAGATTTGAGCCGTGTTGCTGACTTTGCGAGCCACATTGGTAAACGCAGAGAGAGGACGTCGCACGAGCGTCCAATTCACGGCATTATAAAATCTCAAAATTAGAAACTTTTTTAAAACCGAATTATACCCTTCCTTCGAGTATAAAATTAGAAGACCCGATTTTCTACCGAATAGGTAAAAGAATGAATATTGCTATGCATGTTTTTCATGAAATATAATTGAATTTTTAAGGGCATCTAAAATCAATGAGAAAAATGCTTGCTATTTAAGCAGTCATTTTATTTTACAGAGTATAGCTTTTGCATGCTGCCGAAAAGATGTCAGTTCGAAAGCCGGCGTCCTGTGGTAACTGGGGTATTATAAAATTATGCTGCGTGATGAGTAGTTTCACAACCCTGCCTTATTAATCTTTTAAAAACGAAAACACATTTCGGAGTTTCGGTTGACATTTCATGATTTAGCCCACCTATTGTACGACAAGCGGCTGCCCAAGCGTCTCTTCTTTGTATATGTCGCTATGGGTGTCCGCCAAGAGAGATGTTAATTCTGACGCTATAGGGATACTCTGAACATTTTCCTGAAGCGTCTGCAACCCCCCCCCCTCCCGGCCCAGGACCGACCAACTTGGAGGAGGGCAGAGAAGACCTGCTGGACAATCTACAAAGCCCCATGCATCATAGCCGCTAAAGCCAAACGCAAGGCTCGCAAATCTCAACTGCCACCGCCGCCATCTCACAACGCCAATGCTCAACCACCCCTGACCTGCCCACACTGCCAGCGGACGTCCGGGCACCAATCGCTTTTATAGGACATCTTCGTACTAACTGCAGCATCCGGACGACGCCACCCGATTTCTCCTCGTCCAACTCTTCTTCGCCCCCCACACCGACAACTAACACCGACCGCACTCCTAAACCCACTTCCTACTCCTCCACCGCCTCAACATTTACTGCGGCGGCCCCTGTACCCACCACTATTGCACACACTCCTGACGCACCAACAGACATCAACCTCACCAGAGTCAAGACCCGCGATACAGACTCGATCCCTACCTGTCATAATAGCGACTGCACCCTTACCACACATCGGCCTGGTCGGTCATTTGCGAATCCGTCGCACAGAGACTGGCGAACCAGTGCCTGAAGCACCAACACATATCCGCCGCATTCGCCTCCACTATCGACACTGCCCCCGCACATTCACTTACCGCATGGGTTTAGTCGGTCACATGCGTATCCACGAGGGCGAAATTGGCTGCGGTCTCGACACACCCAGCACCTCCTGCACATCCACCATGCCTAGCTCAACCCACGCTCCGCCGCCCACCACGCCCACCGTCATCAGCCCCGACACACTCAGCATATCTTGGACACCCACCATGCCCAGCCCAACACATACGCCGTCGTCCAGCGCGTCCACTATCAACAGCATCATCACTGCCACCATCTCCGCGACCAAAAATAGCACCGCCAACCTCTCCTGTCCCCACTGTCGCCGTACATTTATCTTACGCATCGGCCTGGTCGGTCACTTGCGAATCCTCGCACAGAGCCCGGCAAACCAGTGTTTGAAGCACCCACCCACACTTGCCGAATGCGTCTCACATGTCGTCACTGCGTCTGAACATTCAACTACCGCATGGGCCTATTAGGCAACATGCGCATTCACGAAAACCAGCGGTAGGCAACCTTCGGCTACACCACACCACCAAAACCTGCATCACACAACATCATCACCCACTACCAGCATCCAATTCCCACCCCCCACGGAAGCGGGAAGTGTGCGCCTTGGCTCCGTCCCAATGCGACTTCTTTGTTACATTTGTGACTCGAATCTGAAACTATCGCTGTGCGTTAAGCGTTGTGGCTTGGAAGATTGCTGACTGAATCCCCAACTCAGTCCACGTAGTCCGTCCAGTTGTGTGTGCATTTGTGTGTGGAGTGGCGAACTGATGATGTAAGAGCCAGACTGAAACGGCTCCTTCTTAGCGTGACCTACGGCACTCTCACGCATATGAGATGTACGCCACCCAATCCTCGTTGTGTGAAATCCTGGTGCCTTTGTTTGAAGGGCCAGGTGGTGCATGTGGCGCGCACCGACAAGTTCACAAATGATGTCAGCCCCCGCACCCATTCCCCGCCCCTGTCTACTGGCTAACTCGGGCAGTGACTGGGGCCTGGGAGTGGGAAGGGAGAGTGAGGTCGACGACTCAACTCATTTTCACACCTGTAAACAATCTGACGCACTTGCAGATATCACGATGCGCTAAAAGCCGTGGATTGGAAGATTGGCAACTGACAGGATAATTTGGACCTCACAGTCGGCCCAGTGTTGCGTGTTTGTGTGGAGTGGCCGACAGGTGGTCTAAGAGTTAGGCTACAATGGCTCCTTCTTAATGTGATCTTTGTGGAGCCCCCACTCCGTCAGATCCGAGCCGTATGTGACGATACGCCTCGGTGCGGCTCCAGCCGCACCAGCCCCTTTTGTTGTTGGTTAAAATCCTGCTCATTTGCTGTATTGACCAGGGGATCTGAAGTGGAGCGCCAAGTCGCGGGCTCAACCATGCTATCCGCTGCACCCTCCCCCGCCTCCGGTGTTTTTAACTCTGTCTTGACACCGAGTCCGAGTGGAGAGGAGGAGAGATTATAGCGTAGATTGTCTGCGTAGAACAACAGCAATCTAGGTGCACATTCATTGAGAGTGGGGTCCCACAAGGCTCGGTGCTCGGACCAACCCTCTTTCTCTTGTTCATCAATGATTGTGTAAATGGGTTGGACTGTGATTGTGTCATGTTTGCGGACGACATAAAAATCTGGAAAGTCATCCAGAATGCTGCCGATGAGACCAACTTCCAAGAAAATCTTTGTCGATTGGACGAGTGGTCCCCGCAGATGGCTCTTGTCCTTCAATTTGAACAAATGCACCATTCTGCGCCTCAGAAATCAGACCCCTAGTAGGCGGCCATACCATCTGAACGGAATGCCACTCCGAGAAGCAGAAACTCAGAAAGATCTCGGAGTTTGGGTTGCAGACAGCCTAAAGCCTTCTACACAATGCTGTTAGGCGGCCAAGGCCGCAACCTCAATGCTATATGCCATCAAGCGGGCATTCGTAGTTTTCGATGAAGACTGCTTCACCAAAGTCTTCGGCACGTTTATAAGGCCCCATCTCGAATATGCAATTCAGGCCTGGAGACCGTGGACGCATCAGGATTACGATCTGCTCGAAAGGGTGCAGAGACGAGCAACAAAATTAATAAGAGGTCTAGGTGCACTGCCATACGAGATCCGCTTAACTAACCTTAATCTCTATCCTCTGAGTTATAGGCAGTTGCGCGGAGACATGATACAATCTCTCCGTATCGTGAGCGGCTTGGATTGTGCCCTTCGGCGCGATGAATTTTTCCAACTCGCCACTACAACTCATTTCCGGCGACATCCCTTCAAGCTACGTGTGCCACAGGGTAGACTGAATGTGAGAAAATATTTCTTCTCCAACCGTGTCGTGGAACCGTGGAATAACCTGCCCGAGACGGTTGTTATGTCTCAATCTGTGGAGACATTTAAATGTCGCCTTGACAGATATATGCTGCAGCAACAAACGGACTATGTGACGTTTTAGCCATGTGACCAGTGACATATGTGAATCAATGTATGCATTCACTTAATGCTGTAATTTCTTCACATTTTGGCTTGTTTATCGATTTTTTTAAGTACAAATAGGGAGTTCAAAGGCGTAAGCCTATTTCCCTCAAATACACTGTCTGACTGACTGACTTATATGCTGTGCGAGTCTGCATCCACTGCAAACTAAATCACGCACACGTCACCGTCCCTGCTCTCACCTTGCTGTGGAGCACACGGTGGACATCGTCGGAACCGACGATTGAAATATCAGTGCGGGTAGAAGTTTTAATACCAGTCGCCTCGCTCCTGGAGGCTGCAGTAATATATTAGACAGTACAGGTGAGTTTGATGATGATGATGATGATGATGATGATGATGATGATGACGATGATGATGATGATGATGATGATGCTGCTGCTGCTGCTGCTGCTGCTGCTGCTGATGATGATGATGATGATGATGATGATGATGATGATGATGATGATGATGATGATGATGATGATGATGATGATGATGATGATGATGATGATGATGATGATGATGATGATGATGATGATGATGATGATGATGATGATGATGATGATGATGATGATGATGACTGTGTAATCGGTGACACAAAGTGTCTTAACTGAAATCGTTTTAACAGCGGTAGTATTGGGTGTGCACTGGTGCCAGAAGTAGCAGCTATAGTAACCTGCTTGTTAATAGTATGAGTTCTGTCAGTAATGGTAGTAGTAGTAGTAGTAGTAGAGGTAGTAATATTATTCATAATCATGGCAGTTACACTTTTGGCACTGGTAGTAGCGGCTGTATTCAATATAGAAATATAGTAGTCTGGACAGTATTGTTAATTTTATCGGTAGCAATAATGCTCTTGTAGATTTATCGACGGTGGCGACAAACCTGAAAACTTTGCTTAAGAACGTTTACTTTGAGCTTACATATTAAATTAACTATTCGTGAGTAGTTGCTATAATCTGTCATCAGGCTTGAATTGGTTGTCGCTTTTCTGTTTCTTTTTGAGATTTTTTACACGGAACCCAGTTCGGTATACCGACTGATGCTTGCCCCGTCCGAGTGTGCGACCTCGAGGTGCGTTTGGCCGTTTTCAAATTTGCAGATGCCAGCAGTATGAGTTTTTAGAATGAGAAGTTTATTGGCCTGACATTTCGGATTCTCACTTTAACCCATCACCAGAGACAGTCGCAGGTAAAGGTAGTGGAGGCACAAAGACTGCAAAACTTATAGTACGTAGCTGCCGTGGGGCCACATGCATACTATGTTTAGCAACTCTCGCGAACACCGCTGGCGGCCGTACTTGGGGCGATGTTGGCTTGTCGGCTCGCCCCCGAGTCCTTAATTTCCGCAATTTCATCATGCGTGTTGAATGTTGGCGTGATGATTACTCGGAAATTTGGCCCACTGTCACTAGGATTGATGCTCTCCCGCGCCCTCCCCACGTGACAGATTCACCTGCCCAGGGAGTGTCTCAGCACCCAATATGGCACCGGGAGGTTATTGCGCTTGTTGATGGATTGCGGGTCTGAGAACCATGATTCAAGCAACTCGTGGCTCACGCGGTTGTCAGCTCTTGCAAGGATTTCGACCTCTTGAAAGTTTTAAATATAGCCGGGTTCCGGGAAATGAGCTGCCACCTGAGAACCGGCGTCTTTCCTCCTTACCGCTGCCGTATGCTCAGCTATCCGCATCCGGAGTAATCTCCCTGTTTCCCCGACGTAATTGCTCTGTCCCCAACTGCATCAGATCCGGTAAACGACACCAGACGTTTCTTGACATGACAGCAGGTCTTTCGGCCTCATGACTTGGCGCCTGATGGTTGCTTCCGGCCTGTGTGCAAGCCCAACTCCAAGTGGAGTGAGGCGGCTGACGCTTTCGAGACGTTCCTCACGTACGAAACAGTTCATCAAAATTTTTGGCTGGCTGGATTTAGTCTCTGGTTTCGTTTGCGTACGCACTGGTTGACAAAGTTGCGCCGGTAGCCAGTGGCTCTCAGTACCCATTGAAGATATTGTAATTCAGCAACCTCGTCTTCCATTTCATTGCAATGCATCTCCACGCGCCGGTATAGCGTCTCTATGCAAATACGGTTGTGACAGATCGGGTCGTTACTGTTGAGATTTAGTACTTACGTTGGGTTTGTCGCTTTCCTGAACACTTTGATTTTTAGGCCACCACAATCTTTTCGGCAGACGAGGACATCCAGGGAAGTCCAGCTGGTTGCTTTCTTCCTCCTCCGTTGTAAATTGAGTGTCCGGGAAGACGGTGTCGAGACATTATTTGAATGTCTGCACTTCTTCCCGTTCGACCACGACTACGTCATACAGAGCCCAAAATTTGGTCTGTGGTGTCGGAAAACCAGCGACTCCAACTGTTTTAGGACCGCCTCACCTGTGAGCTCTCAAACTGGCAAACTCATTAGCATGTCCTTCACCTGCTCGCAGATGGTGTCGCCGATCGTAAAGTACGTCTTGAGACAGAACTTCAGGAGTTGGATGGTTTGGGCGTGTCCGAGGCGATGCGAAATGTCTGTTCAATAAACTTCTTGTTCCAGTGATCGCATCTTCTTCTTCTTCTGAACAACTTCCTGGAACTCGCCTGTTCGCTTCTATCGACGCATTTTTTCATTTGCTTTGGTTGTAATTCCTAGTGATTTGTTAAGAAAGTCTGTAGGGACCTCAGTTGGGTGAATAACTACTTAGATATATCGTGCTTTGGTGCACCGATTACGGTTGTCCGTTTTTTTAACTTGGGGCAGTCAGCAGATCCTCGCAGTGGTCAGCTCAGTTTATTCCAGGAATGTGACAATATTCTTGATAATAGCTTCTTCCTTGTGAGACGTCTCAAGAATATCAGCCGACGACCTCATTTCTCAGAGATGGTTGTACATTTTTTGATCTGTATGTTTGCATGAATGCTTGGTGCCAAATCTGAGAACCGAAAAGCGGTAGGAATAAATTATGTGGCTCTCTATATAAAACATGAAAATGGGCACCGCCAACAATACGGATGGTTCTTAACCAACCTTCCGTGAACTTAGGGTCGGATTCAATTCTAGGATTAGGGTTAAGTCAAGGATTGCTTTTAAGGTTAGATTTAATGGTAACATTAAGATTAGTTAAGATCAAGTTCAGGGTTAAGGTAGGGGCTAGTTTTGACTGCATTATCGGGGTTAAGGATAGGGTAAGGGTCAAAATTACAATGATTTAGCCTTACATTAGGATTATTGTTAGGGTTAGGACACGAGAATTTTGTTTCCTTTCCGGAACTATGCACAGGTTCACCTTTATTACTTGGGCGGGGCTTACCTACTCCCACGTTCTGTTAGGAGGCCGCACAAGTCAGTCCTACCTGAAGAACTACTAACTCGCGGTGGAGATAACTTATTCGGTAATCCTGGGACAAATTCCGCGGTTGTAATTTGTGTATGACTTACTAAGGAACAATTGATCTGCACTCTGCTGCTCTAAATTATGTAACGATCTCGGGATATTTTTATGCGTCAACGGGTATTACTTATGTTTGAAGTCCTGCTCCGTTCAAGAGGGATAAGTTCACTAGCTGTACCACTGGTACCCTAACTGTTGTGGACATGAGGTTCAGTCGGGAGATTAACGAGGTGCAACAGTTGTTTGTAGAACCTGGTCAACCAAGATCCACATAGTTGCTCTGTCTAAAAAACGTAAAGCCTTTTGAGAAAAATGCTCTTCAGGAATTTGCAGCCAGGCCGGTCACTTATTGGCCCTGGATCATTTGTCTCCATGCTTCAGGCGTCAGCTGTCGCACTCCATGATCATAACGTGAACAAGGCTGACCTTTAAATCACTGCATGAGAATATACCTGCATTTGCGCCGAGAAACTTCTAAAGATCAGAAGGCATAGAAAGCGAGTCTGAAACTTGCCTGGACCAAAGCGGGCAGTTCGCACATTGACCTCAGCAGCTTAATTAGTTCACTGTTTTGGGACACGGCGTACGAAAAGAAGTGTTGTTAAATTTTGGGCCAGATCAGTGGCAACTTTTCCGACACTCGTTGTGCACGTTATATAGTTGTTATATAGTTGATTTCGCTATCCAAAAGTCAGACGACATCATTGTGAGGCCACTCGTTTTTCAGTAGACTTTGCCGCTTAGTCCAGAGGCAAGTATGAAAAGTTTTGAAGCCCAGAGATAATTTAGCAGGCCTACAAATGCCAATGCCCGTGTTCCATAAAGTCTGGTTGGTTGGAGTACCACCAGAAACTTGGGCGTAGGGCCACGCCAATCTATTTACTTGTAAGCATTGTAAGGCCGTCGATGTGGGAAAAACAAATAGATTGTGGGTATTTGAGATGCGCGAGAACAATACCGCTTGCGGTTGATACAGGGAGTGCGTCTCCAGGAGTGTAGCGAGGCACTCAGTGTTCTCTATATGTCGCGGAGGCAAGGACCGTTTTTGGATTATGCCGAGACCTCTTCACTACAATGCCGGAGGTCCAGTCCCAAATATCCAAGCAGAAGCAGACTACATTCCCAACCGCTTTGGACCCGAAGAAGCTTCCGGTACTCTTACTTACACAGTAGAGTTGCCGAAACTTGCTGTGTTTCGATATATGTTGGGGGTAGTTGGTGGTTTCCGGGTCGTATTTTTACAAGTTCTGTGTGAATATGGGGTAATCAACCGATGCCACAAGCATATTACTGCCTTGAAGCTCGTATCATAGGAGAAGGGTATGAAATTATCCATCAACCGTGATAAACGATATCATCATGACCAACACCATGGTTATCACCACAAAACGGGATCCTGTGAACCAGGATAAGGTCAAGTAATTGTTTCTATGACAAACGTAGCTATTTTAAGCACCTCACTCTTTCTGGGAAAGAGCAGTTTTCAGCATTCTATTTGTTCCTTCGCTGAAGTCTGCAATTTTTCAAGGCTGTCTGTGTCACTCTTAACCATTGTCTACGCTCCTGAACAGTGCGCTCCTAGTGGGGATGGACGAGTGCTCCGAAAACTTTATCTAAAAGGTTTTTCCTAAAGAGGCGGGAAAATACTTTGTCAAATGTCGGGTAAGATGTGCTTATGTAGCCCCATCTGATGGACACGATAATGTTAGGGTTGGGTTGAGGGTTAGCGGTTATGGTTAAGGGTTAGGTTTAGGGGGTAAAGCAACTATTTTTCAACCACTCAAAGTACAACCGCCCATTCCCAATAGCTTTTCTTTTGCATACAACTACTTGACCTTGCCCCCTGTGCGTTCTCCCGCCACACCTGTAAAAACGCCTATTACCACCGATCCGTATTACAGGTAGCTGGCGTTCGCATACTTTGGGAGGGGGCTGCAAAACCACATCTGACCAAATTTTGTACACTGAAGTGTAATCATCATCTTGTTTCGTGTCTAAATACTTACGCCATGTTTGAAGTGCTGTTCTCAGTTGAATGCCTTCTAAAATAAGATTTAAGTTGTTAGATAAATCGTTATCCATGAAGCGAACATTTGATAAATGTGCCTTTTTAAATTTCCATCCATTTAGTGGTACTGTGAATATTCAGCGTTCCCGGGCAAACACTTGTCAACTTCACTGTTTATGATGATAGGTCTGATCATTATAGTCATAAAAAAATTTGG